AAAAAAAAAAAAAAAAAAAATTCAACTCTTATCTCTGCTTATCATTTATACCACATTTACTTATATGGATCATTTTGGAAAGATATCCCGTGTTCATGGATTGGAAGAATTAATATTGTTAAAATGTCCATACTACCCAAAGAAATCCACAGATTTAATGTAATCCCTATTAAAATAATTGTATGGATCATTTAATTCAGTGAATAATTTCAGTGATGTTTACCTCTGAACTGTAGGTTAATTTCACAGAAGGAGTGTCCTGGCAGGGAAGAACTGCTCTACAATGGATTGCCTGGGAGAGGGAGGAAAAAAAAGACACAGCTATTTCCCTGTCTCATAAATCAAGTCATTAAGAAATCATTACAATTGCAGCATTGTTCTTAGACACATTCTTTTTAAAGATCAAAATGTCTCACATTTCTTCAGCTCTTTTAAAGTAGCGAAAGTAGATCTGTGGATTAAAAAGATCTGGTTTTCCCTTTTAATGTAACGGTCAACCTTCACATTTCAGCTGACGCATGAAGCAATGCTAGGCAGTGATTCCTGAGTAATAGCAGTGCCCAGTGAGAAGCTGTTCGGAACCCTGACAAAAAAGGGCTCTCTGGTGAAGTAAATTTGAGAACCATGGCATATTGCATGCCTGGGAGAGTCACTAGGAACATTAGCCTCCTGAAGGCTCTGAAAAGACCGATAATAAAGAAACCTGTTCGAATTCTCATACTTATTTCAACACAAAACCCATTTTCCTCTGGTTAATTATTAACGTCTAATGGGGTGCCAGTGTTCTAAGGAACACTGCTTGGGAAATGTGGTTAGTCTTGACATTTTGATCTTGCAGCAAACTTTGAAAGTAAACACTAGGAAGACAAGGAAGGAGAAAGAAAAGTCTCTTTCAATACCATCTAGACATATTCATTCACATAATATGTAGAGTGTTTCTTTGCTTCCGTATCAATCTGTCATAAAGATCAGTTCCATTAAGAAGAATGACCACAGTACCTATGATTTTATACCCTGGCCTGTTTACAGATAAGTCTGCATCTATTGCTGGTGAGCAAAGGAATCCCAGCCTCACTGAGATGGTCTACTGAGCTTAAAGGAACACTGATACTAACATCTGTCTCTGAAGTTGTTATAAATCCCAGACCTACTTCACGCCTCTGCAAACTTCCTTCTATCCTCAAACTCCAGCCCTTTTCACTTCCAATCTAATAGATTCTCCATAGATAGGAAATCCCAAATGACCTCTAGATGGATTAAGCAGAACTAGAAGAACCACCTGGTTCTCTCTCCCAAAATAAGTTTCCAAGACCATATGCCTTTAGGGTTCCTTAAAGGTCCCTGGTTATGTGGCTCAGCAATGCCAGGGGTGGAGTTTATATGTATGTCACTGGATAAGACCAAACCCAGAAAAATATGCATAGAGAACGGCCGTAAGCAAACTCATCACACAAAATCATGTCTACCTGCTTCCTATCAACTATAGTAATTTCTTAATTGAAATCTCTTTCCTCTATTTCAAAAACTGTGTCCAACAAGAAATGGAATAGTATGTTCAAAATTCACATTCTTCTGACTCACAAATCTTGCATTTCTTGCCAACGGACATTCCATACGAATTACAGATGAAAATCAGATAAGAGACAGAGAGTACATAATTGGTACATTCTTGCCTAGAACATGATATCTCTTCCAGATTAGTGAACTATGAGTTTCTTAGAAAAAAAAAAATTTTCAATTGGCAATAGAAAGTAAACACGTCTATACAGGTGTCAACATTGCTTCCTTTTTGATAGACTTGTTTTCAAATGTGAGCCTACCATAGTATCTATCACAGAGGAATATTAAAAGGACTAAATACATGAAGTACCTTACACAGTGCTTGCAATGTTTAATGAAGCGAGTTCCTTTAATTGTAAACTATTTGATTACTAAAAGAATTAGTCTTTTTTTTAGAAGAAAGTTTGATACTTATTATCCTTGTGACAGATTGTCTCTAATTATGTGGTTCTTTATTCTTAGTTGTTAAACAGAAAACAGATGTAGTCTAAATCATATCATTTTAAAGGTACATTCAATATATTTACATAATATGTACACTTGTAAATGTATAAGAAGAATCTGGAAAGGCTACACGCCAACTCAATGGTTACCTCTGGGCAATGGTGTCTGGAGAGGAATGGGAAATCTGATCTTTCCCTTTCCCCTTCTTCATTGTTAGCAATTTTCATAACCGGTACCTAGTTTGTTTAACAGTGTTTTCCTTTCATTTTATGACCATTTATTGAGTTCTCACTCTATGCCAAGTTCTATGCTAGGTGCTGAGGATGTGAATATAAATATGACCTAGATGGTCCAATCTAGGCAGACATGTTTTCAAATTTGAAGGAAGTTTCTTTTTAAAAGTAATATATGAATGTGTCAATAATGACAGGTATAAATGAAAATATATGTAGTTTTAATAATATAAGATAAAATAAAGTACTATCTTAGGTAAGACCCATATATCCATAAGACCACTGTCTACTTTGCTTCATTCAACTGCATGAGCTGGGGATAATAAATCATTCCAAGTCCTTTTTACCTGGCACTGACTAAAGAGATAGGGGTGTTCCTTCCCAGAAGTTTGTGCAGGAGTGAGCCACTGAAGAGCAGAAGATTTTGGAGAGGTCTCAAAAGAAATTTCTATAACAATTTCTTGATTTCTGTATGAAAGGAACAAATACATTAGTAGAGTACAATTCAATCTAACTAAAATTTGAATTCATAATACATAAATAACACAAATAATATAAATAATATTTTACGAGGTCTCACCACTGATTGAGAGTAAGTTTTAGGAATGTTTGCCTCACATGTTCCTACCTGAATGCCAGCCTGTGGGTTCTTTTCTCTACATGGTAACTGCTTATGAAGATGTAACAGGAACTAATATTAGTTGAATACCCCAACTTTTTTTCTGTGATATCATGTAATCTTTTATAGTGGTGGGAAGGTAGAAGAAATAATTTTGGAACTTCAACTGCCACCGTGGTGGGTGCCAGAGCATAACACAGGGCAGTGCTAGTCTGCAAACTGTTACTGGACAAGTTAAGTCAAGAACAAAGAACTCGGTTCTTTGTGGCTGTCTGGAGGGGTGGGATAGGGAGGGTGGGAGGGAGGGAGACAAAGAGGGAAGAGATATGGGAACATATATATATATGTATAACTGACTCACTCTGTTATAAAGCAGAAACTAACACACCATTGTAAAGCAATTATACCCCAATAAAGATGTTAAAAAAAAAAAAAGCACATAAAAAAAAAAAAACTCTAGTGTTATCAACAAATTTTCCAAGATTAAAATAACTGTTGCAAGCTTAATTATGCTACTTTATTAAAAGCCATATATATATAAAACCATAGAAAAACAAAAAAGTATTTTAAAATTATTAAATTTTTATAGCTTCTACCATAGTATACATGGAGTTTGTATCCCACATACTTCTCCTATAATAGCAGGATCATCTTTTTAAAATTTATATATATTTTATGATTGTATAATATCCTTTTGTAGATTTTCACAATTTTCTATTCAAACAAAGCTAAACATTTAGGTGATTTTATTTTTTTTTACTTTATAGTAAAAACATGAAAAGAGACCAGTGTTTACTGCCAAAGAGACTCCAATTTGTATCCTGCTTCTAACTCTTAACAGCTGTGTAGCTTTGAGCGAATTACTCTGCTTCTCTGATCCTCTCATCCTATGGCAGTGGGTAGTTTTAATAAAAATAATGTAAAATGTCTAGCACAGTGCCTGATACGTGCTTAAAAAATAATGATTATAAAAATCTACCATATTTTAAGTGATTTCCTTAGACTAGATTCCCAGAAATAAAATTATTCAATCAAAGATATGAATGTTTTTAAGATCCTTGATAAATGCCACCAGATTTTCTTCCTAACTGGTTATACTAATTTAGATTCTCAATAGCAGTGTGTGAGCTCCTGATGAGCAATATGTTAAAAGACAAATTTAGAAATTAAGATTAATGAAAAAGCCAATTACCTAAACAAAATAAAACCTTAGTATTGTGTGTGTGTATATATATATGTATGTATCACTAATAAATTAAATTCAGTGTAGACTTACCCTACATGAGGAACTGCTATCCCTTTATGGGAGGGAGACAAGGTCTGAAGTTTGCTTCCCAAAGAGCTGCTAACTGAAGACACTTTACCTGAAGGAACACCTTATAATAAAAAAGGTATTAGTTTTAACGACAGTCTGAAAAACAAAAATCACATAAAACAGAGCATCTGACAAGGAAAACAGTGCTTTCGTGGCAATAAATCTTTGTGGCAAAAGAACAAAATGAGTCATCAAATAAAAAAATAAATAAAATTTCCAGGGAACAACATACACATCCTTCATTTATAATTTCTGTATTTCTTTCTTACAATTTATATACAAATAAAGATACACTTCAGTAATCAATATTTTCTTCAAATCATTAAATATCTGTCTATTAAGGATAACTGTCAAGTTCAGAGAGGGATAGGTAGTAATGAGGGGGAAAATACTGTGGTCAAAGAATCAAGAAAAGAACTTGGTTGACTATTCTCAAGAGATGATATATCACTACAACACTGAGGGTAGACATATAGCTAAAAAAAAAAAAGGACTATAAAATATCTCAAGTAGAAGGTACTGAAAGTTACTTTATTTCTAAACCAAAATACTTACTTATCCTCCACATCTCATCCTAATTATAAATCTATTTTGAATAATCCAGAACAGAATACTGTATTCATTTCCTTCTGTACCAACACTATTAAAAGAAAAAAAAATCAAGTTATTTTATGGATCTCATTACCTACAACAGTTTTGCTAGTGCCACTTGGCTGTGGTAATCGTGAAGATCCTGATGAGGTGGCTCCAGGAGAATTGGACTTTTTAAGTGCAGGAGGCTTATACTAAAATAATGAAAATAAAATATTTGATCATCATCACTTTTTGATTATGGATTGTAAACCAGTATTTCAAAAGCATACATTACCTTAAATGAGCAATCTTTTTATTAGTTCCTGAATTATCCAAATTTAAAAAGTGTAGGTTAAAATATATCACCTCACAGAGAGGTTTCCCAAAATACGTTTCTTCTCAAAACTGGAGTACTAAAAGTTTGGCTCAGATGTTGTACTGCTAAAATAAACTAAGAGCAACTTTTCCCCATTCAAAGAAAACAAAATGGATGAAATGGAAAAAAAATTTCCTCAATGTTAAGATTTTAAATGTCAACCATAATAACAGAAAAACTTCGAAACGCCCAATGATGCTCACTCAGTGGTGTAGCTTTAAAGGTCAAGATTCTTACATGTTCCTGGGTATGGTTTTATATCTCATATATATAATCCAGTCATATTTCTTACTAATAAAAATTCATAAGAGTACCTATCAGTCTGAACAAGTTTTACAATAGCTGCTTAATGGATTATTGTCCCAATGTGGAGAGAAAGAGCTAATTCTGGCTTTATTAACCTCACCAGACCATGTTAGATGAATGGACTGTGGGCTGAGAAAGATAGGGTATTTTAGCTTATCTCGTTTATTCTCATTTTTTTCTCTATTCTCTAGAGATATCACCATTAATTTTATTTTACTGTCTCTTACTTGAGCCAAATTTTGCTCTGTTACTGAATTTAAAAGAATCTTATTGAACACCCATTCCAATATAAAGAAGTGAATTTTCCCAGGGTTACAACCCAACTTAACAACAAAATAGGCATTAAGACTCACACCACCTTAGTTCTAGCCCTATACTCCAACTATAATGTGATTACTGTGCTTGCATGTATGTGTACTTGAGCCCAATGCATTATTTAGATTGCTTTGGACTTAATGAGAAAAACTGGTTTTAAACCTAATTTTCAAAAATCAAATCATATTTATAACCTATAATCAGTATAAAATTTAAGATGTGCTACAAATGAAAACTGCTAAGCACAAATTTTGAAGTCAAATATTATCTCTCTTCAAAATTCAGTATCTGACCTTTTGAAAAACAATTCTTGGTAAAATGGTTTCTCTCTCTCTCTCTCTCTCTCTCACACACACACACACACACACACACACACACACACACACACACACACACA